ATATGGCATCGCAATGTTGAAACGTATATGCTTACAAATGTAGATGTTTATTGACAGGTCAAAAGAAAGTTTGAGAAGTCAACAAATATACATCTGAAAGGAAAACTGCAGTAGTTCAAAGTTACTGGCAAAACACTTGGAAAAAAAGCACCAAAAATGTAATAACATGATATACATTATGAACCTAAGGTGGAGATAGTGAAATATTTGATGCCAGTCGAGTTGAATGCATTTCTAACCTAGATATATTTAGTTATAGATATATAGAATAATTACCAACCCACTCAGCTTTCCCTTGTACAGAGAAGTGTCAACTTGAAATAAACGAGATGTGTATGCAGTCTTGCACAAGAATGGGTTCACCAAGGATACTAGAATAATTATACACATTGTCATGAAGTTAATTAGCAATACTTTTACATGTATGCACCCTTATTTAGACATGGCTACATAGGGGCTCTCAGTGGCTGATAAGTCAAAATAATATTCATTACTCAGGTAAAAAAATTAACCCACATTTCACTAGCATACCTCAGAAATTTTCAATTACAAGAGCATTTCAATGTAAATTTCACTATGTCAATGAGGATCCAGCTATTTCTATTGGATTGGCCACATTTTCTTATTCCAATGATGATCATGCAATTTGTATAAAAATCTCTAACTCAATAAAGCAGTCATTTCAGAGGTAACAACTAAAGTTGAAAAACCTGTGTAGGGAAAGATTACATTGTGAACCATGCGAACTACTCTGCATAAAGCCTAAGAACATAATCATCTTGTTTCGAAGATAACCATCCAAAAAGCCAACCTGAAAATCGAGGGTCCTCTGCCCTTTGCACGACGATACGAAGTGTTTTTGCAAAAGTCAACTTCGGTGGCCGTTTCTTGCTACTGGATATCTCCAGCAATACACATTTCATTAGCAATTCAATAAGAAAAGGCCATGTTTCAGCTGCATCAAAATGAACACTCCTCAGTCCTCACATTTCAAACTAAATTCAAACTTCCATGCATTATAACATTTTCAAAACCAGATTTATAACCCGTCAACTCACAGTGAGGAAGTTCTTTGGGTTTAAGCATAGCAGTCTTCTCTGCAATGTATTTACAAAATCCGATTGACCTCTCACCTTCCAGCCATGTATTCAGCAATTTAATCCCTTCCTATATTGAAAAAAAAAAAAAAAAATAATAATAATAATAATAATAATAATAATAATAATAACTAAGAAATTGAAAGGAAATCTCTTAACCAAAATTTCAATTATCAATCATTAGAAATGATTTTCTCTTTCTTTTTTACTCATTTTAAGCCGCCTATGTTTTTTTGTCTTTAGTTAAGCGCTCAGAGAAACAGTAGAGTCAAAAGGCGGTTACTTCTCGGAGTTTGGCTTTATCGGAGGACAGCTTGGAGACAATCTCCTGAATGTCTCTCGAAGTGACCTTAGACGCCATTTTGGATGATCCTCCAGAGCGAAAAACCCTTTCAAGAAATTCTTCAATAGGATATGTGAGTTTTGGGAGTACAGACTACACTGTAGTCTCTACAGACTACAGGGTTTTAAGGGAGACGAGGGAGAGGGTTTTAACTTTTAAGCACTTTTGTAAAAATTGGTTTGGGCATTATAGGTCCCTTGGTCGTTTCATTTTTACTATTAGATGTTTAAAAATAGTCGGGTGTCTAAGCAGTGAAATTAGTCAAAATCGGCCTAGGTAGCCAACTTGATTGAGTCACTAATTTTTTCTGATTTCGTCTGATGACGTCTGGTCCAGTCGCTCGTAGACTAGTTTGATACTTTGAATCTTTAGATGATTTTAGTATTTTAGTATTTCATATTTGAGTATTTTTATTTTTTAATATTGTTTCGTTGTTATGACTTATAAATTATCATTATTTTATTTATTTGGATGTGTTATTTGATTGAATGTTGAAAACAATCTCATTAAAATTGTCAAACTGCAAGTCTCTCACTATTTTTTTACGCCTGCCGAGATTCCGCCTAGACGATAGGTACTGCCCCGGCGCCCGACTAGCGCCTAGCGCCTACTGCAAGTATACTTTTAAGATGATGGGCAGAGTTGTGAATGCTAAATGTACAATTGTACAACGTGACTACATTTCTCACATATATAGTAGTGTTGACAAGTGTGCACCACTAACTAGACATGATAACGATTTAGTTCTAGCTAGATATGACCGTGGTTTGATTCTTATTTCAAATATAATTGATTTACAACATAGGAATTGGAATCGGAATGGGTATCAAATACTTTGTAATGGTAATGAGTATTGGAGAAAGTATTTAGGAAAAATGATCAAATAAGTCATCAAACTTTAGTCAAAAATGCAATTAAATCCTCTAACATTAGAAAAGTTCAATTAAACACTCAAACTTGTCAAAATAAATCAAATAAACCATGTTTACCGGTAACCAATATGTTACCAGTTATTCACCGCCCAGATACGGCCACCTTCGCCAAAAAACGACAATCACCTTCATCGATAGTTATGCTCCAACGAAAATAAAGAATGCAATCACTTTGCCAACGAAAACCAAGATCCATCAGCTCCAACAAACTGTGGTTTATTACAATTTTCATGGACGACCAAAGATTTGATGGAGTTCAAAGACGGTTCATCCGACAGTGACTCCAGCAGGGTGCTGAACAATGAAGATTGCAGCCTCCACTATCCGCCATTGATGCCACCTAAAAGCCCCACCAGTCCGGTTACGTTGTCTTCTTCACTGGAGAAGACGACCAGATTGGCCGTCGTCTCCTCTTTGGCGACGAGGCAGCAGAAGCAGGTTCTACTCGTATACTGTGTAGACGATCGGGGACCAACAGATGCTAGAAGACAACCGGACGCAAGTAATATGATGTTCGACGGTCGTCGGAATATTGGACGGAAACTTAATGACCGGTTGTTTCAGGTGAACAACAGGTCATTTGGGTTTAAATGCATCAAATTGACAAGTTTGAGTGTTTAATTGAACTCTTTTAGGCTTTCAAAAAAAATTGAACTCTTTTAGGGTGTGTTTGGTTGGTGAGTTTTGCCCATAGGAATGAGTATGAAAGTGATTGTTGTTGTTTGGTTGATAGGTTTTTAGAACACTACTATGGGTTTCGAATACCCCATCAATTGAAAAACTCATACCCAAATACAATAAGGGTTTCATTCCCTTATTCATTTTCAAGCACTACTATTAGTAATCATTCTCATTCCACCCTACTACCAAACATGTTAAATACTTTCACCAAAACCCATTACCATTACCAAGTATTTGATACCCATTCCGATTTCGATTCCTATGTGCGAACCAAACACACCCTTAATGTTGGAGGACTTAATTGTACTTTTGGGTAAAATTTGAGACTTTGAGGGCTTATTTGATCATTTTCCTAAGTATTTAACATATTTTGGTAGTAGAGTGGAATGAGAATAGTTACTAATAGTAGTGTTTGAGAATGAATAAGGGAATGAAACCCTTATTTTATTTGGGTATAAGTTTTTTAATTGATGAGGTATTTGAAATTCATAGTATTGTTCTAAAAACCTATCAACCAAACAATAACAATCACTTTCATACACATTATTATGGTCAAAACCCATCAACCAAACACACCCTAAAATTAGAACCTTTTGAAAGATTCTTGTTCCGATTTAAACCCGATTTAAAACAAAAACAATAGTTTGTTCACTGTTGCTATATATAATAGACAACTACTATATACGACAATTGTTATATAGTGTTGGCTTTAGATACAACAAAGATTCAAAAGCTAATTAGCTTTGTTGACGTGAGTAACTATGCATTGAGTGTACGAACCTCCTCTCATATAAAAAAAACTAATTTGGCCAACACTTTCATATTAGTTAATCCAAACTTGATACACATGCATTCCTACTCTTATCTAAATTGAACACAACCCATAGACAAATTTTCTAAACAAATCTGTAGGATTGAAAATGGTGTAGGCAAGATTAAGAAGACAATGGTAAATTAGAAAGTATTTGTAAAAGTATAAGAAAATAAACATACGGAGTACGGGAGTAGTATGTAAGTCACTAAAACAACCAATTACATTAATACAATTTTAATTCCAAGTATAAGAAAGAGAGCACAAGGTATAATTCATTAATGCAATATTGACACTGTGTTTCTTGAACAGAGTCAATCAAAAAGTGTGAGAACAATGCTGGTTTTGTACTTGGTACAAACTTAAGTCCTTCACCATTTATTTTGAAATAGTATCAAATATAAGAGTATGGTACTGATCCACACCTTAGAATTATATATATTACAAATTGTTTAATAGTTTTTTTAAAAGTTAATTTATTTAAAATTACGGTTGAAATAGGTATTTTAAGTCAAAATGCATGATTTTATATTGTTTAAGAATTCAAATATCCAATTACAATATTAATTACTGTTGAAATAGGTCGTTTTAGGTCCAAATGCATGATTTTATATTGTATAAGAATCCAAATATCCAATTACAATTTTTTGTAGTTTGATGGCACAAATATAGTTTCATATGTAGTTCGTCGATGTCACAAATTTAGTTTCATATGTAGTTCGATAACCTATTTGACCCATATTCTTTTATTTATTTATTTTTATTCTAATTCATATTATTATCAAACATAAAACTTTTTCTACCTAAACAGTTAAATTTTACAATTATCAAGTAAATTCTAAGTCACAAATCACATATTAGATCCTAATAATAGATTAATGTCAAGGAACTCAAGAAATTAAATTCACAAGATTGCATTTGGATCCCTCATCTAGTTCTCAGTGTTTAACTGAAGTTCCAGATCCTGTCCTTCAATTGCCAACAAACAATTATGATACTCTGATGATACTAAAGCCCAAACAATTAGATAATTTCCTGCAGATCAACAAACCTCAAAAGCCTAAAGCACAGAGGCCACAGCAGAAAAATATAGTAGAGAAACAATCAGCATTCCTCATTCTCTAGGGAGAAGCATATAACCACAATAAAGGCCATTCAAATAAAATCAAAAGATAGAGACAATCAAGGTCAGCTACTCAGCTCATGTTCTCTTCAAGGACTGAAGATTAGTAGCTATCAAATACTACAACAAAACATACCACTAAAACTAGTATAGTGGACCTTGTCCAGATCTAGGAGACACAAGCTAATTGTTTTTTTTTTTTTCTCAATACAAATCAATCTTCACTGTCAGAGCTGGCTCCTTCACTGCTGTAGTCACTACTGTCATCGTCAATGTCAAGCTGCACATGCCGAACCTGTATTGTTTCTGGCATCTTTGGCAGGCCGGGGGGAGGTAGTGGTCGTAGTGGTGGCTCCTCCACCTTTGGAGGGAGAGAAAGTGAGTCCAAGGGAGGAAGGGGAATTGGATCTCCAGGCTTCCACCCAGGTGGAGGAAGCGGTAGATCAGTGGGTAATTCAACAGGCATTCCAGGTTTCCAACCTGATGGTACAACAATATTTGAAGGGAAAAGGCCCTGAATTGATGAGAGATTGGGAAGATGATTGACTTCCATTGGCTGGGCAACTGGGGCTTCAATGAGTGGCTCAATAATTTTCTCCTTACCTTCATCTGTTTTGGGTAAACCAACATCATGATCAGCAAAATTATATAACTGAGAAGCACGCATTTGCTCCTCCTGTGGAGCAGGTGGGAGCGCTCCCCGAAGTGGAGCTGTTCCAGCACCAAATTCTGGAGGTGCGAAAGTACTGTAGCTAATTCTATGAGCATATGACAATATGTCTGACAGTTTTAGCTGAGTAGCAACAGTTGTCAATGAAGAGTCCTCAGGATTATCTTCCGATTTGGCCCGTTTTGGGCGGCGATAATCAGAATAGTCATCTACAAGCATGTCGAGAACACGCTCTGCATCTTTAAGTTTGTGGGCAAAAGCAAGGATTGCAGAATCTTTTGAACGGATTTCTCGAGAGAGTCTTTGCTTTGCATCTTGAAGGTCAAGAATTTCTTGAAGTTCTGCAACAGCTTCAAATAGCTGTGATTGAAGAGAATTGAAGAGAGAAAGGATTTCTTTTGTGGATGAAGGACAAGAGTCAGGAGGAGTTGGTTGACTGGCCTGGAGTTGAGAAGGTAAAAATGAAGGCATAGCACCTCGAAAGGCACTGACCCATTGGTTCCGGTTGGGTGAGACTTCAAAGAGTCGAGAAGCAAGGGAAGCCATTTGAATGAGGAGAGACTGAGCTCTAGAAAGTGGTGGGAGGAGTGAAAGCAGAGTTAAAGAAGTGGAGGTTGTATTCGGGAGATTTGCCTGTTGACGAGGGTAAGATTGAGAGACTTGAGAAGATACCTTGGGAGAGGGGGGGTTTTGAACAGAGGGTGAATTAGGAGTTGGAAGGCCAAGCCTGGCTGGTGATTGCAAAATTTGGTGGGGAACATTCTGTGGCATCTTGGACTCTGCCTGAAAATCCAAAGAAATACACAATGAGAACAGATGTGAAGCCAGAAAGAAATCAGATTTACAGCAATGGAACTTTAAAGAAATCATGAACTTAAGCCTCAAAAGTATGATGAATATAGGCTTTAGGATTGGATGTAGTTTCTAGTTAGAGACTATAAAAACCATAGATTAAACATAAGACTCAAGAGACTAGCAATGACTATCTCAATCAACAAACATCTTAGAAAACCTTCTTGTCAACTTTCTGTACTACTTATCTGCAACCAAAATGATAACAATTACTGTGACTTCAATGTGGTTTGCAAATGATATCCACATAAAGAACTCCAGAATCGATACTCTCATCCACCCATCTAAGCATAATTTAAAAAATAAAATAAAAATAAAAATAAAAATAAAATAAAAAATAAAAAATAAAAAACCATTCATGAATTTGCCTGAGGGTTTATATGCATGCACCAACACAGTATCCCATTGATTAACCACCAGATTTCAATTTGTATTTTTTTTTATGACTGTGTACAGTAAATAAAATACAGATATTTAGTAGAACTTCAAGAATAAGATAAACATGCCAAATATAAAGTATTGCTCATGAACAACAACAACATAGTCCATAGCAAGCTTGCATGTAAACAGAACTGAAACCTCAAAGTTCAAGCATTTCATTTTGTGAAACAAACCAGAAATACAAAGCTTATAGCCTTATATAAATTGATATTGTTCAAATAAATGAGGTTTGAAACCCTAACACCAAAATTGAAGCTTTTAATGACAGGAGGCAAGAAAGATAAAGAACAAAAGAGAATAAGACAATTAAAGAAATCCAGTGGCCGAGCCAGGATTATATTTGAGTGGGCATGAAATTAAAGCAATTCAAAACATGGTAAAAATATTTATGACAAGATATGAAATGCCATTAGTTAGATAAAATGATTCGAATACAAAATACAATATTCATGACAAATTATGCGATAAAACTCCTCTATGTTCTATCATATTCTAAAATCACTCTAGATTGTTTCATTCAAAATGAAATGCTCACAAATCACAATTAATCAATTATGAATAAATCTCTCAAAAATAATTTTACAAATCTCATAAAACAATCCTACAGAAATTTTTGTCGCAGCAAATCACAATTCTCTAGAATGTTGCAGCAACAAATCAACAATGCATCATAGAAATGACAGAAAATTATTAGAGTTAGGGGATTTAGGGTTTTATATTATTAGAATTAGGGGATTTAGGAATTAGGGTCACGGACCTGCTGCCGGTTTCCGGACGATTGGACGACGGTCTCCGGCCACTGAAGACGATTCGCTGACTGCTGAGGGCTGACAGCGGCCAGTAGTCGCTGCTGATGAAGGAGTGAAGGCGTGAGTCGCGTGAAGGAGCACGGCTGCGGGAGGGTGTTTGCTGGGACTCTGGGAGAATTCCGGCGAGTGTGGGCGTTGGCAGCTTGCTGAACGAGTGGAGGAGAAGCCGGAAGGTGAAGGTATGGGGCGGAGGTGTTGAAGGCGGAGCGTTGAAGTGCAGAACGGTAGAGGGGCGGAAACCTGAATGGAGAAATTTTTTAAAATTATATATACAGCATCTCAAAACGAGGTGGTTTATATATGTAATTTTTTATTTTTTTCTTATACTAACAAGAGAGTTTAACCGGGTGAAAATAAAAAACTACTACAAAAGAATTATCCCATGTGGGGGATAGCAATTTGTCCTGTTTGCGGTGGAAATTTTCGATCCCCGTTTCAAAGGAAACAGAGATGGAGAAAATTTTTGAAGAACGAAGACAAAAACGAGAAATGTATGTAATTTTTCATCGAAGACGGAACGCCGGTCTCCGTCCCGTCCTATCCTCGAATAACTATTATAAATTAAAAAAATAATATATATATATATATATATATATATGTGTGTGTGTGTATAATTTTTAAATTAAGACAAAATTCTAGTTTTAAAATTAAAAATTACACTAATTTAAGATTTTGACTAAGCTAGAGTTGATCGGGGCGGGAAATCACCGTCCCCGCCGAATTTCCCGCGGAGACGGAGATGGAGAATATTTTCAATTCTCCGCCAGGGAAAGGGACGAGATCGGGGTTTCGGGGACGGGGGTATACATCCCGCCCTGTTGTTATTCCTAGCCACCATCCTTATTCAGGGAATACCACAAGCGCCATCGTACAAAATGCTCTTAAGTTGCTCTGAGTCACCACCATAACCACAAGATTGGGGTTTTTGCCCTTACTTAGATTTGTTATCGCATCTGTCGCTATGTTTTGCTCTCTAAAAATATGCATAACCTCAACGTAAATGATTCTCTCCATAAACAATGCTTAGTATTTAATACGGAGTACTAGTTTTAGAATTAAAAGAAATACTTTGGTGTTGAGTCTCGAAGCTAGATTGAATCGATTTACCTCATAACGGGCCTCATGCCAAGTTCATGGAGTCCCGGATATACTCCGACAAAGCTAGTAAACTTGGTTATTAAAAATAAAAGTTTCAGTAAGTGTTACAAAAATCGACCTAGGTGGCTGCCTAAACGTCACATATAGGCGCTAGGCACCCCAACCCAATGCATATTCCGATGTAGGTGCTCATTTAGGCACCGATCGAACAGGTCAACCATTTTTTGTATGTGTGTTGCCACTACCTAAGTTGGAGTTCGCACCTTTGCAGTTGCCCATCGCTCAATTGCCTATCATAGTCGTAGCTTGCCTCCTCATCCATCGCCTTCGCATAGCCCCTCATATTGTCGAATGATCAAATTTCCTTCACTTGTCAAAGCTAACCGTCGCAACTTGTTATCACCGCTTGGAAGTCATCTACTCATTGCCGTTGATGAAGTTGAAGATGAGGGATGGTAGTGCTTCATCAATGAAAATATGAAATTTTGGAATTTGAAATTAGGGTTTTATAGACTTTTAAGAGTTTGGACTTGGACTAAACTTTTAAATTTTGGGCTAGGGTTAGGATTTTAATGCTTTATTATTATTTTTAATCAAATGTAATTTAAAAAAAAATATTAAGAAATCGAGGCACCTGCCTAGGCAATGAGTTGGTGCCCGTCCACCACACGATCGGGCACCTAACACCTTTTTACAAACATGATTTCAGTAGGGCCAAGACCCCCCTCCCCCATCCCCCACCCCAGCAGTGCTCTACCATGCGTCTTTATCCATTTCCAACCTCCATCTCCTATGAAATTATCTTTCGTTTTCTATATCTAAAACTTCTTTACCATTCCCTTTAAATTTGGGATATGATTTGTTAGATATTTTTGTTATGGTATGAAGGATTAACAGGATGAAAACCGAATAATCATTCAATGCATGAATTTGGTTCACTTGATAAACTTTTGAGATAGAATAGTTGCTTGACAAATTCAATTACAAGGGTGGATGTAAGTGAATATTTATCAAAGTGTGTTTTACAAAGAAGTACTAAAAATTCAATTACAACAAGATAGACAAAGGTTAAGAAATAATGAAATATATTTTCCTTTAACCCTTTCCTCTTTAGGAAGTAAGGAAAATTATTTTCCCTTATACCATTTACAGGGGCAGAAAGAGGGGAGGGGGTATTCGGAAATAGGAGCAGTTACCATATTGATATTAATTATGTTAATGATTATAATTAGGGATGTCAATTCAACCCGACCCCGATAGAGAAATCCAGACTCCGTAGTTCGCCCCGACGGGAGAGGGAACGGAGACGGAGATGGAAAAGTTTCACCATCCTCGCCGGGGACGGAGATTGTTTCCCCTCGCCGATCCTGACCCCAAATCCGACCTCGAATATATATATATATATATATATATATATATATATATATATATATATATATATATATATATATATATATATATATACTAATAAATTACCCATGCGATGCACGGATAAATATTTTTATAATAAAATTAATGATGAAATTATAAACAATTATAATATTTGAAAGTGTACATTTATTTGAAATTATAAGATTTGTATATTAGTGTTGAAATTGATTATTTAATATAAAAAATGTATTAGGAAAAGTCTAAACAAAAAATTAAAGGAAGAGCAGGGCTAATTGATATTATTTTAAACTAGTAATTCACCCGCGCGATGCACGGAAAAAATTATGTTATTATAAATATAAATAAAAAATAGAAAAATTAAAATATTTTAAATTATTTAATATAATAATATTTTTGAGCTTCCATTGGTCAAGTATTTATTATTTTTATAGAATACAAAATTACAATTACAATTAACATTAAAATTATAATTTTGTATGGTTAATATAATCTATAATTATGTGCATATTCAAATAAACTTATAGAGATAATTTACATAATTACATTGACTTATTCTTAATTGTATTTCATATATATTATAATTTTCACAATACAAATAATAATTAAGATAATTACATTTGGAAAGCAAATTTCAAATTTTGTATGTGTAAATTTAAACTCTAATTGAACACATTTTTTATATGATTATATAATATATAGCTATTTTATTTTTCAAAAGTATATATTTTATATGATTATATAATATATAGCTATTTTATTTTTTAAATGTTGTGCTTTTTTTTTTTATATATATAATAAAGGATGTTGTGGCATTAATTGTAACATTAATTATTTCCCAAACCATATAGCTTTATTATATAAAGGATAACAAAAATATACTATTATCAAATGAAGGGATTCAGGGAATCTCTATGTTTAATTACCATAGTAAGATTAAAGTGTTAAATACATGTTGATAATATGAGCATAATATGTGTACGTTTAATTTCCTTTTAATTATGGACGTAATATGCGTATGTTTATTTTCCTTTAATTACCCACAATTATATGTGCATGTTTAATTTTCTATATGGGTAGGAAAATTTATCATTAATTCCAATGAGGTCGTTTTATTATAATTACTATATGATAATTAAAGAATACATATTATTCTTAATTAATTAATATTATACTAATTATGGAGTCCATGTAATCTGAATAATTATGGTAATTAAGGAGTATATATCATTCGTAATAAAATAATATGTGTATGTTTAATTTCGTTAAATTATAGACGTAATATATGCATGTTTAATTTTTGTTAATTATGTCTATAATGTGTATATTTAATTTCATTTAATTATGTCTGTAATATGTGTACCATTAATTTCCTTAATTGATTAGATAAATATATATTATGAAAAGTATAAAAACAATTTAATAAAAATATAATGTGTGAATTAATTTCTTAATAATTACTATAATTATTAAGATTTTATTCAAAAGTAACCATTAGTATAATTTTGTATGTGTAATAATCTATAATTGTGTAGACGTAATATTCTGTGAATTAGCGTAATAATCTGTGAATTGAAATAATTATCATAATTTTTTAAGTATCCTTTAATTATGAACGTAATATGTGTATTAACAATTTGCTTAACTAATTAGATAAAATTTATACTACAAAACGTATTAATTTCTTAATTGTCATAATTTTTAAAATTTTATTCAAAAGTAATAAAAAGAAGCGCATGGGTAATTAATATTATTTGAACTAAATATATATATAAAATCGTCGTAAGAAGGGATTATGGTTAATTACCATAATAAATTTAGATGTTAAATACGATTGGTAATTATCACGAGTTATTTAGATAGTAATTAGTATATGATAATTATCTATATTGATTACCATAATAAACAAATTAACATATAGATCGGTATTATAAAAAGGGAGGAAGGCTTTTTGGTAAGATATATTATGAAAATTGTTAATTAATTAAAATATGATAGAAAAATTATATTAGAAAATTGATTATCTAGTACCAATCCTGCTAGTTTTTTGTAATTATATATTTGTAATTACCGTTATAAACTTATTTAATAAGAAAATTTAATTAGGATCGTATATTAAGAGTTTTGAAATATTATTATTACGGATTATTATTATTATTATTATTATTATTATTATTGTTGTTGTTGTTGTTGTTGTTGTTGTTGTTGTTGTTGTTGTTAGTGTTGTTGTTATACTCTTAATAGAATAGGGAAGCAAAAAACTTCATGCAAATCTCAAAATCAGGGATCTGCATACAAAATAGGAATAGGAATATGAATATGAATTTTATTTGTAATTATGGACTTAATTACTATATAATATTACTTAATTACTATATGTCGTGTGTATATTGAATGAATTTTCTTTCAAAAGGCTGAACCCCAACCCTAAGGGTCCCCACACCCCGGCCCGACAGAATGAATTTTAATTTGTAATTTGAATTTGAATTTGTAATTTGTAATAGAGTTAATACCCAAAATAGTCCCTCGACTATGTCGTAATTACCAATTTGGTCATCGACTATCATTCTTACCCAATTAAGTCCTCAACTATACAATTTTTACCCAATTTAGTCCTTTGTCAATTTGACTGTTTGTTGACTGTCAAAAGTGGAAATAAAGTGGTAATTTTACAAGTTTCTCCTTCCTCCTCATTTAGCAGCGCCAAACCATGTAGCAATAAGCTCCGGTTGGGTTCTAAACCTGTCAGTATTGAAGTAGTGGTT